TTGTTTTTTATCGTCCAATCAGATATGGCCCTCTAGATATGCCTTGTTTTTTATCGTCCAATCAGATATGGCCCTCTAGATACGCCTTTTTTCTCATCGTTTAATCAGATGTGGCCCTCTAGATAAGCCTTTTTTTTTAATCATACAATCAGATGATGTTCATGTTTGTGCTGATGTTCAATGTTTTATGTTATGAGTGCTTAGTGTATATTTAGTTGGTTTTTCTTAGTTCATATCTTAGATGTTATTACTGTTTTTCTTATACATTTTATTGTTGGATGTAACTGGGACCCTGTGTACATAATTTCGCTCCACCACATGTACCACATGAGGTGCGAATGACAATAAAGAAACTGACTCTGACTCAGATGTGGCCCTCTAGATACGCGTTTTTTTTTAATCGTCCAATCAGATGTGGCCCTCTAGATACGCCTTCCGTTTTTGCCTGCAGAGATACCTACTTGGTCAAATCAGACGTTTAATAAAAACATCTGCTGCAAAGAGTCACTAAAAACAGCAAGCATTTAGTAAGAATGAACTTCAGCCTCGCTAACACCAAAGCTACACAGATTCAGTACCTGCTGTACGTCTTCTGATCTTCTCTGTGTATTCATGAACAAAAGTGAGAAACGTTTATTATTTACTGCTACCTGCTGGTCAAGCTCTGTGTGTTCACTTTGGATTTAAAGAGTCGCTCACCTTTCTCCTCGTCGCTGGCCATGGCCTCCCAGTCGTCCAAAGCAGCGTCCGGCTTCACCTCTGCAGAAAAACAACACGGTTAACTTTTTACCCACCTGCTCCTCCCTCCTCTCCTACACCTGTCACAATCACCTGGCTCAGCAGCACGCGGCTCCGCCCCCGTTTCCATGGCAACAGGCTCTGGAGTCTCCGAGGTTGGCGAGGCCAATTCTGACGCTTCTGATGAGCAGGAATGAGTGATAACAGATTAAATCGGGTTTATTGTGTGTGAGGAGCAGCAGGAGGAGGAGGAGGAGTAGTGAGGCGGTACCTTCGGGAGTTTGAGCATTGGGCTTCTTCTTTCTCTTGTCCCTATAAACCGGTTTCTTCTTTGACACAGTGTCTTTGGATGGCACTTCAATACCTAAACACACAAAATAAACATGTTTACATAAATGAAGGTTGCCGGAAAAACAAACAAGCTCCGCCCACCGTCAACCATAGGCTCCGCCCAACTGACCTTGAGCCTGCAGCAGCTTGAGCGTGGCCTCAGCCCGAGCTCGAGATTCTCGCTGAGACTTCGTCAGCAGCTTCCCCTCCTTCTTCAGCCGCTCCTTCCGCTCTTTCTCCTTCTGCTTCTTTTTTTCTTTACGCTCCTGCTCCAGTCGCTCCTAGAAATACGACCACAGGGCTGAGCAAAGGGACTGGTTTTATTTAAAAGGCGGAGGAGGCGGAGCTTTGTGTTTTACCTGCTCCTGTCTCTGCCTCTCCTGCTCCTCAAGCCTCCTCTGCAGCTCCTCTTCCTCTTTCTTGGCTCGCTCCTCTTCCTACAAAAAAATGGTCATTCTCAGAAAAGCATCAAACTGCAGCATCAGCACCATGACTACGTTACCCAGAATGCCTCACCTCCTTCCTTTTGGCCAGGAGCTCCTGCATGGCCCTCACTGTGGCCTTACTGGGACCTTTTGTCGCCTTCTTCTCCTCCTTCTCTCCCTTCTTCTTTTTTTTGTCTTTCTTTTTTTTGTCACCCTCGGTCTCCTCTGAAAAAGAAGATGAAAAAAGAAAATTAAAAGTTGATGTTGTGTAATAAATAATAAAGGACTGATAATGTCATACCCTCTCCTGGCTCCGCCTCTTCTTGTTCCTCTGTCACATCTTCTGGTGGCGCTGTCGGAGGAGGCGTGGCCTCTGCCGTCGCCTTCTCCGGTTCTTTTTTAGTCTCCACAGTGGCCTCCTTCTGCTTCTTCTGCTTCATCCTTTCCTCCTCCTTTTTCTTCTTCTCTCTCTCCTTCTTCTCTGCCTTCTTCTGTGCCGCCGTTTTGATCTTAAAGCCCCCAGCTTCATCCTCCTCCTCGTCCTCAGGCTCATCAGCTTTGACTTTGTTCTTCTTCTTCTTGTCTCTCCTGGAGGTGAACTCCTCATCCTCCTCAAACTCGTCCTCATTCCCTCCTCCTCCACCTCCTTTCTTCACGTCTTCATCCTTGTCTCCGGCATCCTCTTCGTCAGACACCGATGGTTTTTTGCCTCCTTTCTTTCCTCTGGTTTTGAGGCGGGACAGTGAGGAGGTGTCATCATCGGAGTGAGACAGGGGTGTGGCGGGAGGCGCCTGCAGGAGCAAAGAGGAGAATCAGGCACGTGTGGGGACAGGATGACAATTTTAAAGAATCCCCAAAAAGAGAATATTTTGTCAAATTAAAGGCACTAATCACAAATAATTACCAATTAATCATGTAATTTACGTAAAAATAAGACATTTTAAAGTGAAGTCGTCTGAAAGAGCAGATATTTATTCAACAAGTGAGGATATTTTAGTGACACAACAATATTCAAACAAAACAATGAAGCTTTTATGCCCGAGGACAACTCGGAGAATCAAGTTAAAGTAGTCCCTCGCTATTTTGTGCTTCCACTTTTGCGAACTCGCTCTTTCGTGGTTTTTCAAAGTAAGATTGTACACGACACAAGATTATCAACTTTAGTTTTACTCACAAGATTGGGAGAGTACAGTAAAAAGTTAACAAAAATAATATTTCAGACAGGCGCCACTATTTTGTAGTTTTCTCTCAATAAACCTACACTGTGTAAGGACTACATTTCCCAGAAGCCAACAGTTCCCCGCCCAGAAGCCCCGTTGCCTTCTAGTGAAATGGAGGGAAAGTTTTGATCTGATCTGAAAAAGCTCTGTCTTTATTCATAGTGACTTTGGCGCCCAACGGCTGCAGAGAGCCACACGGAACCAACCGGGAACTGGACCAGAACTGGACCAGAACTGGACCTCCAGACTCATCAGTCAATCTGAGTGCTGCCCAAAGGTCCGGTGTTTTCTCTGGAGCCCACCGGGACGTTTTTCATCCGGACTTGGACTCGATTGGGACTACAGGTCCGGCTCCTTCCAAAAGCGTTTTGACGCGAAAGGGCTGCAGAGAGCCGACCAGAACCGGCAGTTGGTCTTCAGAACCGGAACCAAACCGCTGTGTTCTGCAGAGCTGGTGAGTAACATTTTGCAGTACCGTACAGTACATATACATATGTTGATAAAATGACATTGGTTTAAGAGTTTAGAACATTGTAAGAGTGTGGGAAGGGTTTATAAAGCCTTAAAGAAAAATATTAACATAAATATAATGTTGGTACTTCGCAGATTTTCACTTATTGCTGGGGGGTCCGGACCATGATCCGTACCCTGAAGCTCCGCGATAAGTAAAAAAAACGCGAATAGTAGTACAAATAGTAAGTAGTACTTTATTATAGTATATATATATATATATATATATATATATATATATATATATATATATTTGGTGTGTAAATAAAAAATTACCTGGACTCATTTAAAATCTTACCTCTCCATCAATCTGGTTTCAGGAAACAACACAGCACGACTGCTTCACTGAAGGTTCTTAATGACGTTGTTGAAGTACTGGATGCGAAGGATTATTGTGCTGCACTTTTCTTAGACCTGTCTGAAGCTTTTGACACTGTGGACCATAACATCTTGTGTCATAAGCTCTCAGAAATCGGTTTCTCAGAACACACCATTGGTTGGTTCATACATCTCCTCCTACATGTCTCTGTGTGAGTGCAATTACAGCGTGCGCTCTCAGGACATTATTACCTGCAGTGTTCCCTCAGTGCGGACTGAACTTGGCAAAAGCTCCTTGTCCTACTCCGCTCCCGTTTCCTGGACTATCTTACAAAAAAACTTGAAGCTCTCGACCTTTATATAGTTTATTGACCTTGACCTTTTATAGTTTATTTATTGTAAAGATTGCCGTTTATTTAACATATCATCCAAATGGGTCGCTTTTATTTATTTTTATACAAACATATTGTTTACTTGGCATATTTTCAAAATAAATATTTTGTAAGTCTTCATTTTGTCTTCTTTTGTACCGAAAATTAACCAAACCGAGCCCTCCTTGAAATTGAACCGAACCGAAATGTGATGTTAGCGTACCGTTACAACCCTAATATATATGTATATATAAAGACGTTTTAAACACTTCCCACACTCTTGCAATATTCTAAACAACGTTTCTAAACTCTAAACGCTCTAGAACAGCGCTGAGTGTCATGAACTCAGCTCTCAGCCACAGAACGGAGAACGACAGAGGAGGAAGGAGGAGCAGCAGGAGGAAGTTTGTCCTGCAGTGTGGGCTGCACAAATGTGCAGCAGGTGCTAAATAATTTAAAATAATGTATTTTAAATAAAAACGCCACGCCGATTGTGCGGCTCATCCACCGATCAGCGTCACGTCCGATCTTATTTCGAAAAACCGCGATGGAGCGAGTCCGCGAGAAACGAACCGCGAAGCAGCGAGGGACTGCTGTACAATCAAAAGGGATGAGAAAATAACGAGTCTACACAAAAGGAGAAACATGTCAGAAAATCTAAAACACAGAGACGCAGAACTTGAGACCACAAGTTGTTCAAGAAGTGTCTCGTTCCATTTTCTTCTCAGAACATGAGAATAAAGCGTTCAGGTGTTTGTAATTCAAAAACACTTGAACAGCTCAGAGATTACAAAACGATGATGCAAGTCTCAGTGTTTCCCCGCCCAAAGAGGGCGCCCCGCCCTGTCAACAGAACCGAATGCCCTTCCTACTGACCCCCCGCCCCAGGTCTAACAAGCACCCTGCCAAGGCCAGTAATGTATGTATTATGTGTGTGTGTGTGTGTGGGGGGGGGGGGGGGCACTGTTATTTAAACATCATCTATCTGACTGACTGACCTTCTTATAGGAATGTGCGATATGGCATAAAATTCACATCACAATATGTATTGTGAAGGGTGGCGATAACGATATATATCGCGATATGTTTTGGGTATAAAACTTAATAGGATTTTTTTTTAAAGCATAGGCTGTCCTTTTGCTATCATATATTTAGAATTAAAAAAAATTCCACTACAAGGTCCAGAGAGTTTTTAAATAATAAACAAATCAAGTATTAGGCTTCTTGCCTGTAGTGCAAAACAGTGCAAAATATATAAAATGTAGTTTTAGCCATATGTTTTAAACAAACGAATATGTTGTTAACTCTTAACACTTTCCACTATTTTCACTTAAGAAATGAAAAGCAACAGAGCAGCATTTTACACTGAAACACTTCACCCTCCAAACCTCTAGTGGGCGCCTCCTTCCGCTTTAATGGAGAGCTGACACAAAACGACTGTGGCTTTGACCAGAGGGTCTCGCAGTAAAATCACACAACACAGCGTTCTTTTCACAGATCAGAGAGCAGGTTTCTCTAAAGCTGACCAACGCTTACTTTAAATTTCGACGGAACCCCCCCCCCCAAAAAAAACCTTTCAACGGAACACAGCGTTTTGCGCATGCGTTCGAATACGGCAACACTACGGCAAGCCGGCTGTAGTTAGCTTGTAGCTTCGCTACTTAGCTCTCGAAGAAATGACTTTAACGCCACTTTCGCACAGTTTTCAACTAAAAAAAAGTAACGATTAAATCTGAAAACTCTGATTTTACTTTAGCCGGTGCAAGACAGAGCTCTATCGAAGGCTAAATTTCGATCGTTTCTACCGTGTACCGTTTATATCACGCACTCCTACCTTGTTACTGTCCTGCTCGCCGTTCTTCTCATCGACGTGGCCTTCGTCCACCACCTCATCCTCAGGACTGGTTCCACCCTTCTTCCCCTTCCTGGTTTTCTTCTTCTCTTGTTTGGGAGGCTCGGGCACCTCAACCACTTCTGTGGTTTCTGCTTTCTGAAGGAGAGCGCGTGCGAATGTGAGTGGGGGGTGACCCAGTAAGCAGGCGAGCGAGCGACGCGGCGTGTTTACCTTGCCCTTTCCTCCTTGGGCCTCCAGAGAAAGCTCCTCCAGCTCCTTCAGGATGTCGTCCTCGCTGCAGCAGGGGCACACGCGCAAACGTTACACGACCTGCTCACAACAAATCTACGCGCGCGGAAGCGGATGAGGCGACACAAGAAATAAAATGTCCTACTCGAATTCATCCTTCTTGGCTCCTTTCTTCTTTTTCTTCCCCTTCTGCTCCTTGGAGGCTCCAGCTCCTTCGATCTCTGCAGCCAGAGCGTCGATGTCACCGCCGTCATCCTTCGCACTGAACAGAGATCAATAACAAGCAATCAAAAAAAAATAATAATGGAGATTTGTTCACACGATAGCCCCTCAAAGAGGTGAGTGAAGAGGGTCTCTTTGTGTCAGACAAACATGAGCCATCAAGCAGTTGCTGACTCTCGCCTTCCTTTTGTTTCCTTTCATCCCTGTGATGCACAGAAAGCAGAAAGTGATCCGAGAGCAGTGAAGCTGCACACAAAAATGAACCAAAACAAGCCGCTGAAGCCGTTTTTCTCTCGCATTACACCCCATTCACCTGTTTTTACCTGTGTTTGCTGTTTTGTCATCAAACTAAACGAATCAACACAAAGCTTCAGGTGTTTTTCTTGAACTAACCAGCTGTGAACAATAATTTGTTTATTTGATATCAGGCCTGTATAAAACTTTTATTAGCTTCATTAAAAACGACAATTTTTTTTTTTTTTATTGCAAACATGACATAAGAGAACTGTAATTACTACAGTGAAATCAACAGACTGAGATGGTGACATTATGTAACAAGATGTCATTTTTTGGAGAAATTCAGCAACTAATTTTAATAGATTTGTTTTTTTGTTTTTTTTTAAAAGGATGAAACGCTGGCATAAAAATGTCAACCCACTAACATGAAATTATTATAATTAAAGAAATGAAAATGACAGATTTACAACATAAAACAAGACCAAAACATCAACGAAACAACATTAAAATCATCCCTGTCTAGTTGATGTTCCCTCGTGTGTCAGAAGTAAATAAACTTGCATCTGGAACATCTGCTCAGGTGAGGCAGGTATGGGTTTCACGCGCCTGATCAGTCAAAACAACACGAGTCACAGCTAACCTAGCTGGGTAAGGTTTATCAATGGGCCGCCAGGTGAACTCACCTGAGAATAAAATGAAAATAATCTGTAGGATTTTTAATACCGGATTAAAGGCAGCTGTGAAAACCAACAGCTAACGCGGCTAATAACGCTGTTTTCGCATGCTAACTATAACCAGTGAGCACAGACCGGGATCATGTATCTAGAACGAGTTTAGCTTAGCCCGGGTGAACCCGTGACAGCCTTTCTGCTTGTTGTATAATTCATCTAAAGCCATTTCCAGACTGTTTACAGCTTCACCTGCACTCACATGCGTACAATGACTCGTGGTTAGCATCTGCTAGGACACCTAGCCGCTAAGCTAACATGGTGAACAGGACGCTTTGGGGGAGGTTTTGACTCCTGACACTCGGTGCCAGCGTGGACAGGCGTTTACCGGCCGTAGGACACGTTCTGCCTACCTGTCCTCTCCGGATTTTTTCTGTTTCTTCCCCATCTTGCCACTATAAATATGTCTCGGCTGGTACTTCGCTCTCTGCTGGGCGACGCACAAGACAGCTCACATTGGTCAAAGATGGTCTATTAACGACACAGTTTGAAGATGCTTTGCTACTACTAATGCCAATGAGTAAAACATAAAACGCTACATGCAAAGCTGCACGTTAATGTTAAGATTTTTTTTTAACTTGTAATCTTAAAAATGTATGAGTTGCACTATGACAGGTTTCAACAATACTTGATATCTTAAAATCATTAGTATTTCAAAAGAAACTGCGTAATTGTTTAAGGGGGAATGAAGAAGTGACACCTCTTCGCTACTCTACCAGCTTGGCCTAGATCGAAACTTTTGCGCATGCGCTCTTCAACTCAAACGTTTGAGATTAAAGATATTCAACAAGATAAACATTCAATGCGGTGTCCGACAGGTGCCAACGAGCCGCACATTCCACATGAAATGCGCTACAAATACACGAATGATGTAAAATTCAAAATATATGCAACAAAAAAACACTGCAAAAAAATAAAAATTTGCTATCACAGAAAATAGATTTTAATTCAATTCAGTTTATATGTAGCACCAAGTCACAACAGAAGTTATCTCAGGGCACTGTATAAAACATTCCAGTTTGTTCATGTTAAAAAGGAATCTTCTGCATACACCATAGTGAATTATGGCGTTCCTCAGAGTTCAGTGCTTGGACCACACTCTTTACTTTATATATGCTTTTAATTAAATAAAGGTGGTTGTCAGAATGATATAAGAAGATTATGACAATTACAAAGCCTGTCCTTTACCACTTAAAGAACATTGTTAGAATTAAAGGATGTATGTCTCACCAAGACTTTAAAAAACTTTAGCTGACTTGACTACTGTAACAAAGTATTTACTGGTTTTCCTAAAAAAAAAAATAAAAATAAAAAACCATCAGACAGCTGTAGCTAGAAAACAAATGCAAAGGACAAACTGCTACAAATACCAAAATACTAACAAAAATAAACAATAAACAAAACAAACAAACAAAACAATTACAGAAAATGCTGCAAAACTCACTTCAGTAAACAGGAGTGCACCAGACCAGTTGGGGGACTCGACCACCAAGTCATTTGGGGCCCAGACCCCATGTAAACACATTACAGCTGAGCGGCCACTTTTTAAAGTCATAATACTTTCATATATCATGTGAGGATATACAAAATATCTCAACTAAAGTGAGGTTTTGGTAATCTAAGGAAACAAAAATGAGACATTATTAAAGGTAAATAAAATTAAACGTTGGTTAGACAATGGCTTTAAATAATGTAATTTGCTATTTCCTATGAAAACCAGAAACAATAGATTAGGATAAACATGGAAAAGAATGCATTAGAAAAGTTTGCCACAATATGATTTTTTTTTTAATTAAGGGGTAGGAGCAGTAAGTTTAGCTAAGATGATCTGGCACTTTTCTAAGAACTGCCAACTCCCAATAGTCTGTGGCCAGTGGCAATTTTAGCCTTTTGGGGTTGCTCAAGCACCCTTAAATTTGAACTCATTTACATGTAAATGTAAAAATATTAACTCAGCACCCTTGAAAAATAAGGTAAAAAAGAAAAAAATATGTAAATTTAGCTAGCGCGTCTGTATTGCATGCCACTAGCTTAGCGCTACTTAGCGCTAAAAATAGTTGTTGAATCAAGTATGTAGGTAAACATAGATGTTTAACCCGTTAAAATATACCAGAATGCAGGAAATGGCATCTACTTAATTCAGAATTTTCTGGGGGAGGACCCACCAACATTATAAATGCTTCATGCCAATGGCTATGTTGTTCAAGCCAAGAGCCATTGTGAGCACTGGGGGCTAAGCACCCCTAAAGGGCAGAATCTAGCATCGCCCCTGTCTGTGGCTATATCACTGATATTAGTGTTTTTGTAAGTATAAAGCCATTTACAAAACAATTTAGTTTTTAAGCTGTATTTCTAAATATTTTCGATCAAGTTCACTAATCTGTATCATATACGAACTTACTGCCAATATATTATGGGTACATTAGGACAGAAAAAATGTTTCGTTTGTTTGAGGTACTGCACATAACCAAAACGGTGATATTTAGGATTTTGCCGTAAATTATTGTGGGGGTTAAGGAGTGTTTGCAGTGTTTCTTCCTTGCAGTTGTTTTGAGTATTTTTTATTTGCATTTGATTTTTTTGGTTGTATGTTTTTGTTCCTGTCGATTTTCTGTGATTGCGGACGTGTTTCTGTTGCATCAGGTGTTGTGTTTGCAGCACCTGTCGGCCACCGTACATTCAGCCATGAACCTACGATTAAAAATCCGTCGGGTTTGTATCGTCGTCACAGAACTCCCAATTTAAATAATTTCCTAAAAGTTGTTTGTTTTTGTAAATCAAATTATGTTAAATATTTCATCAATCAGACGAAGTAAAAAAAAATATGTTCAATAAATAAAGTTGAATTATAAAGGCTGGAAGTGGGTTTGGCTGAAAAACACAAGATTTTTGTTTTTATCGAATTTTGATTGATATGATTTAAATAAATTTTTTTACAGATAACTTTTTATGGTTATCAGTATTACCCTATACTGTACATGAAAAGCATCTGGGGTGTCAGAAAAATGCACAAATACAGAAATCGTGTTTTATTATCAATTCATATATAGTACCGTATTTTTCGGACTATAAGGCGCATTAAGCGAAACAAAACTGTCAGATAAGTCAAACTTTATTCAAATCTTTCACAATAACAATTAGGCCTGTCACAATAACAAATGTTGTTGGGCGATTGTCTCAGAAATTATTGCGATAAACGATAATATTGATCGAAATTTGACAATAATTAGTAATTATTGTCAAATTTATAAATAAAATATATATAAATAATTAGTAATTATTGTCAAATTTAAGAAGAAACGTTTGTTTTGTGTGTAGCACATTTTATCGACCACTGGATGGCAGCATAAGACTGTCTGAACCGAAGGATGGATAGTGAGGGAGCAAGCAGTGTGTCTCTTTAAGAAAAATGGGAGGGAGGCCCCTTGACGTGACATGTGCTGTCTCGCTTTGGTTCTCAAAATGGCGGACACTCGGTGTGGTTTGAGCTCTTTAGCATAGCATGTTTCACACAAAGCTTTTAATAAAAAATAAAAAAATCAGTAAACAAGTTCTCAGCTTCTTTTTGAAGAGAAAAACTTTTTTAAACAAAGACACGGGTTTCAACCGTGAAGGATGTAGCTTTGACAAGACGGATGTTCCCCCCCCCCCTGAGGTCGGCATGTTAGCTTAGCTCGTAGCTTAGCTTCTCAGCTTAGCTGCTTTTGACGATCGAAAAACGCGATTTTGGACGTTTTAAAATGGATTTTAAAGAAAAGAGAAAGGGAGGGGTCAGTGAAGAGCACCGGGGTTGAGCCTTTTTGTCATCCAGTGTCTTCAAAAGAAAGAGAGACACGAAGAAACGATAAAGCCGCGAAGTGAAAACGAGGTCGACAATTTTCATTTATCATGCGATTAATTGATTTATTGTTTATCGCGACAGGCCTAATAACCACATAAAATCCGTTTGAGGTCAGTAAGCACAACCAGAATTAATACATAAGGCTCGCTGTCGAATTTTGAGCAAATCAAAAGATTTTAAGTGTTCCCTATGGTCCGAAAAATACAGTAAATCAGTCTCATATAAACCAGCAGCCTAGATCACATCCTGCATATTCTGATAACCAGTTGAGTGAAAAGGACAGACATTTAAACAACCGTCACTCCCGAAGCTTCATAAAATCCACTAGAACCAGAAAACTTCCTGCGGCGGCTGTAATGACCTCAGCAGCCTGCAGGGGGCAGACTGATCTGGGGCTCGCTTCAGCCGGTCACAGCAACAACAGCCTCGCACAGGTTGAGCAGTCTTCTGCGCAGCTGGCCGCTTTCAGACCGCAGCAGCTCGGTCACGGCTGCCGCCGCTCTGTGCGGACAGAACCGCTCTCCGACCAGGACGTCGCTCAGCTGGCGGCTCTGCTGCAGAGGAAGCCAGTCTGCTGGGACATCCAAGCGGCAGCTGTCCACCCGCCCGTTCTTCACCTCCATGTGCAGCTCAGCGGGGCAGCGAGCGCCCAGCTGCTCGTCTGTCAGCTGCAGCCGCGACTCAATGCTGAATTTAGGCGTCTTCCCAAACGTCCACTCCCAGCTGCGCAGCTCTGCAGCCATGCTGCCCACACCAGGAAACGAGGACTCGGCAGACGGGTCGACGATGGTGGACGCAGAGCAGAGTCCAAACTCTGAGGATCAAAACAGAAATACATCAGGTTCTCAACATCTGTCCGCAAACAAACAGCAGCAGCTGCGCAGCACCTCGGTTGTACTGCTGCGCTAGCGCCTCTAGTAGCTGGTCCCACTCTAAAGAAGGGGCGTGGTCTGTCAGGTTGGTGACAGGTGAGGGGATGCTGGGCGTGGCGTTGCTTTGGATACCAGCACGAGAGGGGCGGAGCACAGTGGAGAGGGCGGGGCGATCAGAAGAGTGAAGCAGAGTGCAGTGGTGGTAGGACGACTTCCTGCTGAGCCGCGACGCTGTGCCTGCGAGAAGAACCGCAACACAGTTAACGTCATACTTTAATAAATAAAAGAGCAGCGTTTGAATCTTGAAGCATGACAAAGACATCTTGCCCTAAGAAGCTGAGAGACAAAACCAGCCCGTGGTCTCACTGAACCTGAGATCTTGTAGTGTCCGTTCAGTAAAATGTCGAATCTCTCCGTGGCTCGGACGTCCAGTTCTGGACAGAGTCGCTTCAGGGCCTCGGTGACCACCTTCAGATTCCTCTGACGGTCGTACGCCTTTTTGGAGGCAAAGAAAGTCATGTTTAGGTTCCCGAGGTCGTGGTAGACCGTCCCGCCTCCGCTCCTCCTCCGCGCTAAAGGGATCCCCAACCTTCTCATGGCTGACAAGTCGCACTCGGTCCAGGGGTTCTGGTGACGTCCGATGACGACAACCGGCTCGTTCCTCCACAGCAGCAAGACGCTGCGATGCTCCAGATCTACGTGAGCATCGATCCAGTCCTCCAGCGCCAGGTTCTGGTACACGTCCGTAGATTGAGACTGCAGGACAAGTCCAGCACCACCGCTGGCAGAGTCTCTGAAGAGGGACCTGGTCCAGAGTTGCTGGTTCCCAGTTCCAGCTCTCAGAAGGTTAAACATCCTTCTGAGCTGAGACATCATGTTTCCTGTTTACTGTGTAAATATCCCGGGTTCATTCTGTCTGCAGGCAAAGAAAAGTCAAAGAGAAAGTCTCAGTTTCAACCAATTTACAAGATAGATACAAATTAAACACAAAATATTTCAATGGCAGTATTTGTGAAGGCAACGCATTAAATGACAAAGAACAACGTTAAACCGATGTACAATTTTAATTTCAACTATAGTTAAAGTGTATTACAGCAAAGGGAAAACGAACTTGGTCCCACATTACGAATATATTATTTAATTTTTAAAAGAGCGGACGTGTGTGACGACATAAGACTCCGCCTTCTGCAGCGTCTGAGGGAAGTTAGCATTAGCTTTAGCCCGGTGTTCTCGCTACACTGAAAACTAAACAAACAAAAAATAAATAAAACGTTTTTATTTTCTTCCCATTTAACAAAGATCAACCGTAAATAAAGACAGCATTCATAACATCCAACAGGCTTGAAAACAGCTGCTGACCTGATCCGGAGAGGAGCTGCTTCCGAACTCCTGTATCTGTAAACGAACACAGAAACTACTTCCGCTAAGCCCCTTCAAAATAAAAGCATTTATTTAAAACCATGGTTATGCATTTTTTTGGCCTTTTTTCTTTCTTTCTCTAAACCTCATATTAAAATGCTTTAACTTCTGCGTGTATTCAAATTATTTTATACATAAATTTGACATATAAAACCTTTCATATGTATGTTTACTGTCAGTCCAGGATGAAGTAGGTGTACTCTGTTCAGGGTGTGTTTACTTGCAGAAACTCAAGATGGTCATTTACAAATTTATAAAAAGGACAAAATCACTTAAATTGTACAAGTAATGGAAACTTTTTGCAGAAAAATAGGCACTTTAATTAATGGTTTCAGCTACTGTCCCCGCGACCCAACTTCGGAATAAGCGGAAGATAATGGATGGATAATTTTTAATATCTTGTTGCTGGAATTATTATTTTTTTATATGTAGTCATGTTAGTTTTATATGTTTTTTTATATGTAGTTATGTTAGTTTTATATTTTTTTTATATGTAGTTATGTTATTTTTGTATGTTTTTTTATATGTAGTTATGCTAGTTTTATATGTATTTTTTATATGTAGTTATGTTGGTTTTATATGTATTTTTATATGTAGTTATGCTAGTTTTACATGTATTTTTTATATGTAGTTATGTTAGTTTTATTTGTATTTTTATATGTAGTTATGTTAGTTTTATATGTTTTTTATATATAGTTATGTTAGTTT